CTCCCCCCCGGGGGGGCTCCCCTCCCCCCACCCGCACACGTGCAGGATGTCTACGCAGTACCGGTACGTGTTTACGACGGACCCTAACGACGCGACGTTGTACAACGTGGTGCAGCCGCGGTTGGCGCAGGTTTCGCAGGAGGCGGTTGACGGAGAGACTTTGGCATTACGGGTGGAACGAGTGGTTGGTGCAGATGCGTTGGGCGACTTGTCCGCACCGCGTGTGACAGTGACAGTGGACCAGCGGACGGGGCAGGTGAATGTGTTAGTGTCTCCAGTATTGGATGAGTATGTACCTAGGACACCGGCGTTGGAGCGGTTGCAATCGGCGGAGATTCCGTTGGAATCGCGTGTAGCGCAAACATTGAGAGATGAAGGGTTACGTGGCGCGTTGCGTGCCAACGGGGCGGCGAAGCCGCCGCCGAATAGTCGTTTGTTCGCGCAGAGTCCGGCGGGCGTGGCAGTACGGACGCCAGGTGGGTCGGCATATTTACCGGCGGGTTCTATTAAGACACCGAATGGCGATATCTATACCCCCAAAGGTGTTTCCTACTCCCCCGGTGGAACTTGCTATTGGCCCCGAGGAACAGAGTTTACAGACGAAGGCTACGCACTCACTCCAGCCGGCACGTGCTACTCGCCAGGGGGCACCGGCTATGGCCTATCCGGACATGTGTACTCACCACAGGGAACCGCTTACTCACCCTCCGGCCTCGCATACACAGGCTGGCGAGGCACCTTCAACTGGCAGACGGAATACCCACCCAGTCCTGGCGGTCTAGGGGCTGAAGGAACACGCGGTGTCATGTACCCCGAAATCGAAGCCGGTGGCCGAAGCCCCGCAGACTTCAGACGAGACGTGCTCGGCAGCCCCGTCGCCGCAAGTCCCCGAAACCCTAGTCCTAGCCCTAGGGCCACGAACACCGGTCCCACCCCCACCGCCAGTCCCACTCCCAGTCCCACTGCCACTCCCGCAATCAGCCCCAGTCCCGGAAGTCCAAGCCCCAGCCCTACGGCCAGCCCTACGGCCAGCCCTACGGCCAGCCCTACGGCCAGTCCTACGGCCAGCCCTACGGCCAGCCCCGCCGTAGGCAGCCCAGCCGTAGGCAGCCCCGCTCCGACGGCTAGCCCCGCGACCGCGGCTAGTCCAGCCCCCACGGCCGAGCAGTACGGAGGCTATGATGCGTCTGGCGAGTACGAACCTGAGGATTTGGACGCGCGTGTGGCTGCAGCAAGGGAAGCGCACGAGGCTGAGGTGCGTCGTTTGACGGGTGAGTATGAAGCGCGACTGCGTGCTGGTGCAGAGCGCGCTTTGGGTGAAGAGGAGCGAGCCGCAGCTGCGGCGTTTGAGTCGGAGGTGTCGCGATCGCGGAATGTGCGGAACGAAAATATTGCGGCCGCGGAGCGTGACGCTGCGGCAGCGGAGCGAGCGAGGGCGGCTCGTGAAGAGCAGCGGCGTGAAGCATTAGCGAATGCCCGTGCTCGCGAACAGGACACGCGTGTGCGCGCAGAGATTGAAGCGGAGCAAGGTCGAGTGCGTCGAGAAGAACGTCGACGAACGTTGGAGCGAGCGGATTCACTTCGTGCACAGGAAGCGTTCGCTGCGGCGGAAGTCGCCAATCGTGACCAGGATGCACAGCGCGCGCGTGCGGCGAGGTTGCAGGCGGAAGAAACAGCGCAGCGTCAGACACTTGAAGACCAGGAACGCGCGCGGGAACGTGAAGCACGCGCGGAACGTGCCCGAGTGCGAGCAATTGCGCAAGATTATGAAGCCAATGCGCCACGTCCACGCGAGTTCGCTAACACAGATTTCACCGACAACTTCGATGCAGACGCTGAACGCAGACGTATCCGAGCGCAGCATAATGCAGGCGCCGATAACGTCCCGCCTCCCACCATTCCCGGCGGCAGCTCCACTATGTACAGAGTCCGTGCCGATCAGATACCCCATCACGCTGGCGCTGACTTTTACGCCCCGACACAAGACCAAAAACAAATCGTCACCGCCAACGCCCGCCCTCTCGCCACCACAGGTCTGCAAAGGAACCTCGGAGACGTGGTTGGACGCAGTTCCGTCGGTGCTGAGGCCGACCACGTGCGACGGATACCGGTCCATCGGCGAACGGAGACGCACCGTACCACCAAGACCGTGCGACGTCACTCGGCCAAGCCGACGGTGGACCGCGTGGCCGCTCTTCCGCGTCGCGACCTGCGCGCCTCCGACGAATTTGCTTGGAGTCAAACACCTCAGGCACCATAGAACAGACACCATGGAACAGACACGATAGAACAGACACGATAGAACAGACACCATAGAACAGACACCCACCCACAACAGAGAAGCTCTGACAAAAGCGTAGGGGGGCAAAGGGGGCAGAGAGAGAGATAGAACGGGGGGACGGATAGGTGCAACACGAACAGGAACCGGTGGGGCCCGCGGGTGGTGGATTTTGGGATGTTAAGAAGTGGTTGGTTGTTGGTTCTGATTGTGTGGGTAGCATTCCAAGTATGGTTCTGGCTAGCATTCCGAACGTTGAAGGTAATGAATGGTCGAATGGTTGAACTGTCTATTGCGGAGAGACGAGAGTGGTGTGCCTGGTTGCGGGCGGATCGGTTGCCACGTTGGTGGCGGTTAGTGGTGGGTGGGGCGGTGGTATTTCCGTTACGAGGTGTTGGATTACTGTTGTTGGCTTTGACGCAGACTTTGGTCGTTTCAATGTTCCGACCTCGTGCGCGAACGAGTGAACGTGCGGCGTTTGTGATGGGTGGAGTGCGTGGAAGGTTGTGGTTACGACGCATAGTCCAGACATTGAGTTGGGCTGAGTTACGTTGTATGGGAGTTTCATGTGTGGAACAATATGAAGTACTCAACGCACATTTTGACTTCCTTCTTGAGGAGGCTGTCCAGCGCGTCCGTGTCCGTCCACTACACACCAGCCAGGACCGGGGCAGGGATGAAACAGGCTGCGTCGCTAGGAACTATGTGGCCAACCATGTCAGCTACGTCGACATCGTACTCTTCATCGCCCTACTCTTCCCCAGCTTCTGCTCCAAGGCCTCCGTCGCCGACATCCCACTCGTCGGCAACTCCGCCAAGGCGCTCGACTGCGTTTTCATAAATCGAGACTCCGCCCAAGACCGACGAAAAGTGCTCCAAGACATACACGATCGTCAAACGCTCATTTGGAAGGCACGCGCTGACGAATACTACCGCGACCGGCGACGAGTCGACTCTCGACTGCGCCTCCACATCGAACACTTTCTCGACCTCGATGCACAAGACACGCGCACGCAAAACACGCGCACACGCGACGCACAATACAATCGCGACGCACAATACAATCGCGACGCACAATACAATTACGACACACAATACAATTACGACACCGCACCATCGCTGCTGGTTTTCCCCGAAGGTACCACGAGCAATGGGCGCTACCTGCTGCCTTTCAAACGCGGCGCCTTTGCCGGACTCAAGGCCGTTAACCCCGTCGTCGTCGTCTACGACTGCCCCCACGTCGACATGAGCTACGAAGTCGTACCCATCGTCTGGCTCTTCCCTCTGCTCGCCGGCTCCTGGCGAGGCGCCACGGCCAAGATCTACTGGCTCAGAGAAATCGCACCCACTGTTCAATGGGTCGTCGATCGAGACGTCACCAGCTACGCACAACATGTCCGTCAGTGTATGGGCAAGGCCCTACTCGCAGTACGCAATACCACTCCCGACCAGCTGCTACTACCACAAGACGTTTCCACTCAAACCGAAAAAGTTTCTACTCAAGACTCTACTCACGACACTACTCCCGCATCCGAACCCGCACTCGATCAGGTCTGGCTTGGAGATCTCAGCAGCAAGAAACAGTGCATCAAACAACTCTTTCAGTAAACCACCACCCTGCCATCATCGCCACTACGTTGGGCATCACCCCGCCACCCTGCCCTGATCTACCCCGACTCCACCACTGTCCGTGATCGGTCACCACCTTCTACGACGGTGATCTGTGCTTGCAGGAGAGATACATCATCCAAGACACTTTCCTAGCTACCAACCGAAACCAGCATCGTCATCCTATGCTGCAGAATGGGACGCACGCAACGATGATTCGTACACGCTTCTGTTCACGGGGAAAAATTGCCCGGAGAGAGCGGGGGATGGGGCAGTGCCACCATACCGATGATGCTCTTTTCGCCGCTACTGACCAGGGCGCATGACTCGCTGCGAGTGATTCTTTAAAAAAAATATGTTTTTTTTAGTTCGGTATAAGCCGCTAAGTCATCTCTGGTCCTGCTGTTGCTTGGTAGTTGTTTGGTGGTC